TGAAACATTGAATGAAGCATCTGTACTTAGTGGGCCTAAATCAATAAACTCAGACTGATCCAATGTTACATTCCTTGCACCATTATCCCACACCCTCAGTAGCCATTCCCATACATATTCTCCAGGTTTCTGTCTCTACATGTTAGCAAAATCAAGTAGGTCTTTTCAAGTGTAGTGTAATACCTCCTTAGTCACACTTTGTATTTCACCTTTGGGGGCTTGCTTGGATTTAACTTTAGTTTTGTTGTCTAGCAGCAACAATAGGTGGTTGGGACAGTTCCTGAGAACATTCAGCAATGTCTTCCATGGCCTCTGCCTCAGGCAATGACCCCCCAGGAACGGTTGGGTTAATCCCATCAAACCAAGGTGGAGGGGTTGATGCTTTTATGGTAATCCTTTCAGATGGGAGGAATTCAATAGAATTTACAGGCTCCATATTCTGATCTTCCTGACTATCTGTTGATATGTCCCCATTCCAGGTTTCAGGATCCCATTTTTTCTGAATCAATGCCCTCACTTTAACTTCAGATACCATTCTGGGTTGGCAATTTAATTGGCATTGTAATTCAGCCACCCTTACAATAAGACCCTGGGGTTGGTTTTTGGCAGTATCAGCTCTGGCACTGGAAGAAATAAGCCTTTCTTCAGAGCACAACTGGAAACATTGAGGTCTTTTATGCAGTGCTTAAGCTGTGACTCAGCAGCCCTGAGCTTATCTCACTCTTTTACCACTTTGTCTAATGTAAGTAGGACCAACCAACCAGCTTCCTTATACTCCTCATGCCGACAAAATTACAGGAAAGTATCAAGTATCCGATCACCCAGAGCTTCACTTTTCAAAAGTACTTGATCTATTGGTGGTGCTATTTTGCATATTAATGTTGCCACCTCAAGCCATGGATTAGCAGGGCCCTCTTTACTAACAGAGGTAGGGTCACTAGTGCCTTTATGATTAATCAAATTGGAGAATTTAGGAAGCCCATCCTTATGATTTTGTCTCTCTACAACCACTCTCAATACCAAATGTGTTAGACGGGGCTCTCTGTTGTTGTTGTTGTTGTTAGGTGCCGTCAAGTCACTTCCGATTCATAGTGACCCCATGCACAGCAGAACAAAACACTACCTGATTGCGTGACAGCTCCATAATCCTTGCTATACTTGAGCCCATTGTCACAGCCACCATGTCAATCCATCTCATCGAAGGCCTTCCCCTCTTTTATCGACGCTCTACCTTACCAGGTATGACA